GGAGCTCGAGGAACACAACAGGCCGGGCAGCAGAGAAGCAAGAAAGTTGACTTTTTCAGACAAAGGGTCCTGACCCGAAAAGTCAACTTTTCTGCTGCCTGGCCTACTGTGCTCTACCAGCTCCGCACTGTTATCTCGTACTTACTACTTGATGCATTGGGTCATTTTAGCTCTTCTCAAATGCAGTTACAAGAAATATGAAACTGGTTGTGAGCGAGGCACAGATGCATTTATATGACGATAATTAAAATCACAGGCAGTGACAGAGCAATAACAAATAATGCAATCCAAACGCTATTACAATTGCGATTCATTATAAATTCGTGATAAACGTTTCACTCTCCATGCGTTTCAGCTGTTCCGTGAACGTGACTGACTGCAGCTTGTTAGTAAAGATTTCATGTTAGATCATACACACAGTGACAGTAAGAGTATCAAATAACAAAGCGACTGAAATGGACATCAAACAATGAATGCAGAAAAAGACATTCCGACAGAAGGGATGGTCGAGTTGCTTTTCACTGATGTTGTGGGTGGCTCTTAAAAGAGCCTTTGGGTCGTCAGATGAAATAACGGTCTCTTCACTTTTTAGTAGCGCCGCCAGCGGCGGTTTTCTTGGGCAGCAGCACGGCTTGGATATTAGGTAGTACCCCACCCTGAGCGATGGTCACCCCTCCCAGCAGCTTGTTGAGCTCCTCGTCGTTGCGCACGGCCAGCTGGAGGTGCCTGGGGATGATGCGGGTCTTCTTGTTGTCCCGGGCCGCGTTACCGGCCAGCTCGAGGATTTCAGCCGTCAGATACTCGAGCACCGCAGCCAGATAGACCGGCGCTCCGGCACCCACACGCTCAGCATAGTTACCCTTTCTCAGGAGCCTGTGAACACGGCCCACCGGGAACTGCAGGCCAGCCCGGGAAGACCGGGACTTCGCCTTGGACCGAGCTTTCCCACCAGCGCCTTTTCCTCTCCCAGACATTACCACAATTTCGCAAACACTTTCACAGAAAATGCTGCAACCCGCCCACATTCCGCCCCCTTATACCTTCGGGAGGAATGGTGGTGCGGTCATTGCTGATTGGCCACATTGTTTCGCTTCTCTTAATGTCGTTTCAATTCCCAATCAGATATCTGCTTCACTCACCAATCCGGAGAGGGCCCGGGGAGGAGGCCGGAAAATACCGGCGCCAAATCATCAAACGCTTTCTTTCTGATTTGAAAAGCCCGCCAATATGTACCAAAAAGTAGGAAGGTTGACGCAATAGAATGCACGAATACTCGAGATAATTTACTTTTAGATTCTAAATGTATACTTTACCTAATCTCCCTTTCCCTCACCTCCTTGAATATGTCAATTTCTGACCTAGAATCGGATTTTCTGAACATTAAATGCAAGCGGAAACAAAAAAGCGCCAAAATCTGCACTCTGCAACTAATTTATTTCGCATTTCAGAAACACCCGATAAGTTGATAAAACATTCGATAACGTTCTTCCAGGTGAGCGCCTTAATTGCGGACACCGTTTTTCGAGAATATTTAAAAGCGGCCCTCGCTTATTGCACTCGATCAGAGTTCAGCAAAAGCTCCACATTTACTATGTCAGTCCGGCAGCTGTTCTGGTTTTATCTCGGCTCATTTTGAAAGTATCTCCCCGACAGCAAAAAGCTTCAGCAACCCGCGAGGAGATCTGGAAATAAAACAAAAGGGCGAAATGGAACTCGGAGGAAAAGTATATTTTCTTGCTTGCCCTTTTGCATATCCCACCAGGTCTTGCAGCTTCTGAATCGACTGAGTGACAGAGGGTAACACGATCATACAGAAATTGTTCAAAATAGCTCACTGGTGTTTAACATGATCCCTGTCCACAGGCAGCGATTACAGATGTGTATGCACACCTCCGAGAACAAGCGCGCACAGGGTCAGGGATCACTTGTTAATTTACAGAAGATTTATAAAATACAGATGTCGTACAGACATTAACATAATAGTTCAGCTGTTTCAGGGAAGCTGTGGGTGGCTCTTAAAAGAGCCGTTGGGTTTTGGTTGTGTGCTTTTCAGCACACTGTGGTGTCTCACTTGGAGCTGGTGTACTTGGTCACCGCCTTTGTACCCTCCGACACGGCGTGCTTGGCCAGCTCCCCGGGCAGCAGCAGCCGCACGGCGGTCTGGATCTCCCGGGAACTGATGGTGCTGCGCTTGTTGTAATGGGCCAGGCGGGAAGCCTCCCCCGCGATGCGCTCGAAAATATCGTTGACGAATGAGTTCATGATGCTCATGGCCTTGGAGGAAATGCCGGTGTCGGGGTGAACCTGCTTCATCACTTTGTAGATGTAGATAGAGTAACTTTCTTTCCTGGACCTTCTCCTCTTCTTGCCGCTTTTCGCTGGCGCCCTCTTCACCACTTTCTTAGCGCCCTTCTTGGCAACTTGTCCTTTCCTTTCCTCTACCATTTCGACAGTCAACATCCAACACAGAATAAGAAAAAGCGGGCTCAGAGCTCGCTTTTTATAGCCTGACGGCGTCAGCAATGCTAATGAAGGATGGGAGAAAGCCTTGTTCCTCAATGGGTAGTTTACAAGAATGTTAAAACATGACATTAGCCTTTCTGTGATTGGTTAGTGTGGGACACAACGTGGATCTGCAATGAAATTTCAAACGCAAATCGAAATTTTGTACACGGATCAAACTCCGAGCTTTCTCTAAATCGTGAGATCCTAATCGCGATTTATTCTACATCTTTTGATAATGGTTTTCTTTTCTCCTCCGTTTAAAAATGTCATCACGTTCGTTGTCAAGTGACAAAATGCACTGAAATCTGACAGTGGTGTGTTTCACTCCTGGAAATGATGGAACTACTGACAATTGCATCGTGCTTGATGAACATGGGAGTTAGGGAATGTTCTCTCTTGCTCATGTTTCTTGTCCTACACTCTCTGAAGTTTAAGGACATTATACCAGCATCTGCTCCGTCAACACCCTTCAGTTTTCGTTTCCTCGAAAGGTTTGACGTCCTTCTTCAAATCTCCAATGAGTATCGGCCCAAACTATTCATACTTTCATCAGACTACCTGCCAGCGTGTGTCGGTATCAGTTTTACTCGGATTACCTCGATGACAAAAGAGAACTGATGTACTGTGACCCGGGCCTTTCGCTTTCTGCTGATTACACAAATTTTACTCTCTATCCCTTAGGCTCTTCAATCAGTGTCAGCAGCTTTCTGCCTACATTTCAGTTCCTGGAATCTTGCTTTGCACTTAATTAGCGTGGATGTTATTTTGTGCATTTCAGTTTCTAGCAATAACTGTTTTTCATGGATTTTCTCTGAACTTTATTTGTCAACACGTCAGTTGTATTCACACTGATTATTGTCATTTAAGAATATTTTGAACACAGTACCTTTTGCAAATTTTAATTGTGACAATCTCTTCTGTGTAGATTTTTTTTTGTTTTATCACTATCAATGAGTCCCTGATTACAGTGTGAATGATATTGTGTTGTTCAGAATTTCAGGTTGACGAGGTTAGTTTTATTTCTCATTATTGGCTGTGTAAAAATGGGAGTGCAGTTATCGATCTGCCATTTCAGCTTCCACTAGGTGAATGATTATTACTCCCTCACAATCTGTCCATCAGTTTCTGCTGACCGAATGAGTGTGTAGTAATCAATCTGTACCAATCAGTTCCTCCAGTGATTATGCTTGTGTAATTATCAGTCTATCCACGAAGCTCTCTCCTGTGTGAATGTGTAATTGTAGTTATCAATCTGTCGCTATCAGGTCTTTGCTGTGTACGTGTGTGCGTGTATTTACCAATTTCTGCTGTGAATGAGAGTTTAGTTATCCATATGTTTATGTTCATTTCACAGCCTCTCTCTCAGTTTCTGCATTGGGAATATGGAAATGTATTTATTATCTGTACCTGTCCGTTTCTATCACGTGAAAATGTAATTGTTGTCATTAATGTGTCCCTGTCAGTTAGTGCAATTCAAGAGTGTGACTGTAGTTATTAACCTGGCCCTCTTAGTTTCTGCTATGTCCAGATTGATCTGGACCTGTCAATTTCTGCTCAGTGCATATGTGAGTGTCAATACATGCCTGTCAGTTTCTTGTCTGAACATGTGAATGTAGTTATCAAACTGTACCTGTCAGTTAATTTGCTGTGAAACTGGGTGTGTAATTATCAATTTGCTCTTATCAATTTCTGCATTGTGAATACGAGTGTGCTTACTCATCTTTCTTGGACAGTTATTGTTGTGTGAATGTGTGAGCATATTTACTAATCTGTTCCTGCCAGTTTCTGAAATTTGAATGTGATTTTATTTATCAATCTGTACCAGTCAGTTTTTATTTTAGCACTTTCAGTCTCTCCCTGACAGGTTCTGCTATTTCAACGTTTGAGTTCAGTTACTGATCTGCAATGCCAGTTTCTGCTCGGTGAATGTTGCAGCACAATTATTCATTTGTACCTCATACTTTCTGATATCTGTAATTGTAGTTATTAACCTGTTTTTGTTGGAAAGTGCAATGTGAATGAGAATGTAGTTATTTGGCAGTTTCTGTCATGTGAACATCTGAGTGTCATGAATCTATCCATCACTATTACCACAATATTAGTGGTGTGACTAGTTATCAACATGTCCCTGTCAGTTTCTGCTGTATGGATATGTGAGGTTAGTAATCAATATGTACCTGTGAGAATCTGCTTGTGAAAAGTGGAGTGTAGTTATCATACTGCACCTGACAGTTTTTTTTTAAATCTGTGGATATTTGAATGCAGTTATAAAATTGGATCTGTCAGATTATGCTGTGAATCTGGGAGTGTTACTATCAATCTGTTATTCTGTGTTTCTATGATGTGGATATGTCAGGTCCTGTTAGTTTGATATGTGAGCATAGTTATTAATGTGTACATATACCTTTTTATAATGTGAACTTGTGAATGTTTTTAGTAAAACTAACAGGTAAAGTTTGCTATGTCAATATGTGAGTGTCATCATCAATCTGTTTTTGCCTGTTTCTGCAATGTAAATGAATGAGCAGAGCTATCAATATATGCTTGTCAGTTTTGATTTGATAACGTGGCTTCACTCTCTGGAAGCCAGTAATATTCTCAGTGAGAATTTGTTATGTGGTAGTTGTTATTAGGGTGATTTAATGCAGCTTAGATTCAGTTCCTGAGTATATATTTGGGACGAGTATTCGGTCCATCCATCTTCAAAAATGGTGTAAATGTCAACGGGCTATGAATGCTGAAATGTGACGTTGACTTGCTCACCGAGCTGGCTTGTTTTTGTTCACACATTGCGTCACCATGCGAGGTGATATCATCAGTGGAGCCTTCGATGAAGCGATGTTGTTCTACTCCGCGTGGAATTTATACTGTCTGGTCCATTATGGTGAGTACTGTCATTTCAGTTTTGATCTGTATGGGTTTATATATGGGGTCCAATTCTGTATGTTTGTGTGGAGAACCATGCCTCTCGGAATTTCTGTGCATGTCTATGTCTGGCTTGGGCTACGATGGTTACTTTGTCCAACAACAACAAAGTTGCTGGAAAAGCTCAGCTGGTCTGGCAGAATCTGTAAGGAAAAAACAGAGTTAACCTTTCGGGTCCAGTGATCCTTCCTCAGAACCAGTTACTGATGAGCTTTTCCAGCAACTTTGTTTTTGTTCCTGATTTACAGCATCCACAGTTCTTTCAGTTTTTATATGGTTACTTTGTCCCATTTCAACTGACGGCCTTCATTGTCTGAATGTATTGTATATTCAGACAATGAAGGCCATCAGGTTAACTGGGACAAAGTAACCATAGTAGCCCAAGCCAAACATAGACACACAATGGAATTCCTCGAGGCATGGTTTTCCATCCATACTTCAATCAACAAACATATAGAATCGGACCCCACATATAAACTCATACAGATCAAAACCAGAAATGACAGTACTCACCATAATGGACCAGATAGTATAAATTCCACGTGGAGCAGAACACATCACTTCATCAGAGGCTCCACTGATGATGTCACCGAGCATGGTGATGAAAACGTCTGAACAAAAACAAGCCAGCTCAGCGAGCAAGTCAGCAACATTATCCCAGCAACTACCTGAGCTGCAGATCTTTGCCAAACTTTAAATGCTGAAATTTGTTCAAACTGGGCAGGTGTGCATTGTGAATGGTGAAAAAAAAACAACTTGTATTTCCTCTGTGTCGTTTGAGCATATCTCGCTGGAAATTGACTTCAATGTATGTCTGACTCAATCTGCTCTGTGCCTGTGGGAAGGATGTTCTCTGCTCTGACAGCGGTAAAATACCTTCTGTTTGTTAGAATCTGTTGGTCACACTTGGCTTCGGACTGAGGGAATATCACTTTCTCTTAGTCCTTCACGTATTTGCCTGGAGAAAGACAGAAGAAAAACCTCCTGTAAATCAACATCAGCCAAGTTTGATAATATTTAATTGATCAATGCAATGTTTAGTTAATAATCATTACAATATTTTATTTCAAGCCAGGAATTTGAACAGAATTGTGTGTCTGATGCCACTCTTGCTCTAAGCTGCTCCCTGTCTGGTGATTTTTCTTTTTGTTAATTCCATACCAATTGAGTGAAGTCCAGAAACTAACCAACAGGTGTACAGTTCCATGAATGGGGCTACCCAATGCAAGTGGGTCTGTGAATATGAGTTCAGTTGTTGATCTATTCATGTCAGTTCCTACTTGGTGAATGATAACTACACTCACACAATCTAAGCCTTTGTTAAATTACTTATGTATTCACACAGCAGAGACTGGACAGGGACAGATTGATATAGAACCATACATCCATTGAAATGATATACCACTGAAGAGGGCTGTTGGCCTATTGGCTTATCTTGTCCATTCCAACCCAAAGACAAACAGATGGCTATTCTAATCCCACCTTCCTGCACACAGCCAACTGCCCCACAGATTAAAGCACTGTCAGTTTCTGTAATGTCAATGTATTGATCAATTTGTCATCTTAGTCTCCATTTTGTGGATATGTAAATATAGTTATCAATTTGTACCAGCCAACTTTTTCTGTATGAATATTTGAATGTAGTTATCCATCTCTACCTGTGAAAATCCAAATAGTTATTAATATGTACCCATCAGTCTCTACAATTTCAATGTCCAAGTTTAATTACCAGCCTGTACCTGTCAGTTTTGCTCTGTTCATCTGAGAATGTCAGTATTGATCTGTATCTGTCAGTTTCTGGTTTGTTAATGTATGAATGCATTCATACATTATGTACCTGTCAGTTTCAGCCAATGTGAATGTGTGAGTGCAGTTATTAATCTGTGCCTGTCAGATTCTGCGATGTGAATTTGACTGTCATTTTAAGTCTCTACCTGTCAGTTTTGTCATGTGAACAAGTGATTGTCAATCAATATGTCCCAGTCAGTTGCTGCAATGAGAAAGTGTGACTGTGGTTATCAATCTACAGT